GCATTCTTGAGTCTCATCTAGCTTAGTACATATGATAAATTGAAAAATTTCACAAAAAAAAATGCATCATTCTAGTTGCATCTTGCATTCTAAGATCGAGTCTAGTTGCATCATGTAGGATTGCATCAGTGCAAGGAGCAATGATAGATTTTTTCCTAGAGAGTAAATCACTTGAGAACTTGAACTAAATATGCTTGTGAACTCATTCTGTGCTTGTAAAGCTTGAAACGATTTGAATCTGAGAAGCAAGTTTGAATTACACTCAACTCTAACTAAGTGATAACCCTGAACTTGAATTGAAAATATTTTTTGATGCATTGCTTGAATGGGCTTGTGGATACCAATATACATACTTGAGCTAGAATCGTTGTTTTTACCACCCTCCTTCCTTAGCTCAAGTAGCTGAATCCGCATCATGGATCAGTTCCCTCACCTTGAACCCATCTTTCTTTCAAGCCAATGTTTGTGTGTGAATTGTAAGGCCACCTTGGACCAAACTTAGCAGAAAGTGTTAGGTTTAGAGCGACAAGGGCATGTCTCATTGAGTGCTATGTTCCAACATCAAGGAACTGAGAGTATTGGCGAGGAATAAGTGTGGGGGAAAAGACTTGTTAGTGAGTGGAAAAAGGTGAGTTGAGTGGAAAAGAGGAAGTGGAAATAGCTAGGGGGATGAAAGAAAAAGAACTGAGTCTTGGATTTGAAAAGATGAGCTCTGATGTTTTTAAAAGAAAAATTTAGTCTCTGAGATGAAAAGAAGCCAAAAAGGCTCAAGTGTTCTAAAATGAAAAGAAAAGAGACTATACGATGTGAAAGGGAAGAGCTATGCGAATAAATGAACTCCAAGACTTGAGAATGAAAGCAGAAAGTGAGCCCCCTAGTGAACAGAAAACGATTGAGAAGAGTGAGGATCTTGAGAGGGTGAGCAAGTGAGAAAGCTTTGAGTGGAGTGTGGGGTGTGATGAGTCTTGCCCTTGTATGCATAGGTTGCTTTTTACCTTTAGCATTCTGCCAAAGTTTGGTCGTTCATAGAGAGATCCCTTTGCTGCATTGCTCCCGCTTGAATATTGATGAGATCATTTTTATCTCATGACCTTAGCCTAGCCATGCCAGCCTATTTGAACATTGCATCATTTGATTCACCGGTTACGAACTTAATGAATTTGAAAGAGTTGAATGTGATGATGACTTGTGGAGATTCCGTGCTTTAGTTGGAAAATATCTGAGTATAGCTTTGCATTGCATATTTGAGCATGAATCCGAGTTCTTATTGTGATCACTTCTCTCTAAAAAGGAAATATGAGCTCCATCTGCACTACAACCTCTCTCTCTCATTTGTTCTTTTCGCTTGAGGACAAGCAAAGGACAAGTGTGGGGGAGTTGATATGTCTATATTTTGCATCATTTAGGTTGCATTTTAGAGTCCTCATCATGTGTTTTCCCATGTAAATTGAGTCTTTAGGCATCAAAAGGATTTAGGGCTTGCATTAGGTCCCAAAGAGTTTTGCATGTTTTGAAGTCTTTATCAGGTGCTTTGGGAGCCATTTGGAGCTTAAGAAGAGGAGCAGAAAAGAAAACGGTGAAGAAAAGGGTCAAAAATGGTGAAAACCGCTTGGAGGAATTTCTCGGCCAAAACTCGTACCGGCTGGACAGAAACCTCGGTCAAAAAGCTTACCGAACGCTCATTATCGACCAAAACCCTTACCGATCGACCAAAATCGACCAAGGTCGAGTATCGGGTGCAAATTACCTCGGGTTAAGTTTTTGGCCGAGGCGAGAGGAATTTTACGGCTAAAAAGCTTACCGCGGTACATAGCCCTCGGTCATTTTCCTTACCGCGGGAAGCTTTTCTCGGCTAAAACCTATCCTTGCCCGCGCGTTTCAAAGATCAGCAATCCGGGGAACCTTCTGGTCCGAATCAGTTGGCGAGGTCTTTATCAAAGTTGGAGATAATCAAGCAAAGATCCCGGAACAGTTGGAATCATCCAATTCGGACCAGTGAGGAGAAAGATACGGCTTCCGGAAAATGCACCAGTACTGCGCGTACTCGAGAACCGAACAGCAGACTTCAAAGATCACGAAGGACGGAGCCTTTCCGGTCCGAACAAGCCTGCTCGGTCTTCAACAAAGTTTGAGATCTGTGAAAAACTTTCTCAGAACAGTTGGAATTGCTCTATTCGGAACAGTGGTTTGGAAAATAAAGTCTCCGGAGTTCACATCGGTCCAAAAGCTTATTTTCCGGTGATTCCAATGCGACGCAAAGATGTGAAATCCAGGAAGCCTTCCCCTTCCCAAGCTAATATGATTCTCCCTGAAATCGACACTCACTAAACTGGATCAAAGGGGATAGCCTTGCACACAAGCGAATTGTATCAAGATTTGTGGGTTTAGATAAGACGCCAAGGGTTGCGGAAGACCCTTGATGAATGGTTTCCGAATCAACTAAGGATATTACACACCAGAGATGAATCGAAAGGCCTTGAAGGATATTACACACCAACAAGAAAATTGATCTTACTAAGAAAAGATTTTGATTAAAAGATAAGATAGTCTCAAAAGAGAGTTTACAAGTGAATATAAAGAGAAACACATGTGAGTCTACAAAGCATTAAAGTGTCTAGGAATTAGTTCTTTGAAAGCTGGCCAAGTTTGAATTCGAACTCTTCTTTACACGCTCCTCTTCTTCTGCTTTGGACTCGGCTGATGTGCTTAGATGTGAGGTGATCCAAACTATGCCTCATTAAAAACCTATCTCAAGAAAACCCATTGGGACAAAACTTGAGATAGGGAAAAAGAGTACATAGTTGGATCACAAGCCCATTAGTCTTCTCGGACTTGGATCACAACTAGTGTAGTTGTGCCCATCTCTTTTCCCTTCTGTTCCACAAGCGTTCCATGCTTAAGTATTTCCCCAACAGCTTCCTTGAGCCTCTTAGCTTTTGCTCGGGTCATGGGACCTTTTGTAATGAGCAAAGGGTCTTCTTGTTCCATTTCCTGAACCTTGTCTTTACTCCTTAGCTCCTTAGCTCCTTGCGGTTTTCCATCTGGTTCCCACTCGTTATTGATGCTATCCAAGATCATATCATCCCCCTCTTCTTGAAAATGATTTGTCCTCAAATCTGGATCATCTGCAAAATAAGGAATCAAGTCAGAAATATTGAAAGAAGAACTTATCTTGTACTTACCTTGTAGATCAAGTTGATAAGCGTTATCATTGATCTTTCTAACTATCTCAAAGGGTCCATCCACTCTCGGCATCAGCTTAGACTTCCTTTCTGCTGGAAATCTCTCCTTTCTGCTGGAAATCTCTCCTTCCTTAGGTGCACCCAAACGAGATGTCCCACTTCAAAGGTAAGCTTGCGTCGGCTTCTGTTAGCGTGCTTGACATATTGCTTTGTTTTCTCCTCTATGTTAGCTCTGGCTTTCTCGTGGATCTGTTTAACAAGCTCTGCTCTTTTCTTTCCATCTAGGCTAGTTCTTTCACTCAAAGGAAGAGAGGTTAGATCCAAAGGCGACAAAGGATTAAAGCCATAAACAATTTCAAAAGGCGAGAATTTAGTAGTTGAATGCACTGAATGGTTATATGTGAATTCTACATGAGGCAAACAGTCTTCCCATGCCTTAAGATTCTTTTTAATCAATGCTCGCAACAATGTAGACAATGTTCTATTCACTACTTCAGTTTGTCCATCAGTCTGTGGGTGACAAGTAGTGGAAAACAAGAGCTTTGTACCTAGCTTAGACCATAAAGTTTTCCAAAAGTAGCTTAAGAATTTGGTATCTCGATCAGATACTATGGTCCTAGGCATGCCATGTATTCGAACAATGTCCCTAAAGAACAGATTAGCTACATGCGATGCATCATCAGTCTTGTTACATGCAATAAAATGCGCCATTTTAGAGAACATATCAACTACAACAAAGATCGAATCCTTTCCAGTCCTAGTTCTAGGCAATCCAAGCATGAAATCCATTGATATATCAGTCCAAGGATGATAAGGAATAGGTAAAGGTGTATACAAACCGTTGGACTGAACCTTAGCTTTAGCTTGCTTACAGGTCGCACATCTTGAACAAACTCGCTCAACGTCCCTCTTCATGTGAGGCCAGTGAAAATGATCTTGTAATACTTTCAAGGTTTTGGCTATACCAAAATGTCCCATGAGTCCTCCTCCATGAGCTTCCCTGACTAACAAGTCTCGAATAGAACAATTAGGGATACACAAACGATTATGAAAGAAAATAAATCCCTCTTGTCTATGATAATAACCCGAAGCAAACGTAGCACAAGACTCATAAATAGTTTGAAAATCCGAATCAGATGAGTACAGAAGTTTAAGTTGTTCAAAACCAAGAAGCTTAGCATCAAGAGTAGAGAGTAGAGTGTACCTTCGAGACAATGCATCGGCAACTACATTGTCCTAACCTTTCTTGTATTTGATGACATAGGGAAATGTCTCAATGAACTCAATCCACCTCGCGTGTCTCTTATTAAGCTTTTGCTGTCCTTTCTCCATTAGTTCATCGACTTGTCTTTGTAACTCCTTTGTCTTAACCGGATTGGTTCTATAAGCAGGGCGATTAGGTAATGAAGCACCAGGCATGAAATCAGTCTGATGTTCAATGCCTCTAAAAGGAGGTAACTCTTTAGGATTATCTTCAGGGAAGACATCATTGTATTCCTGCAAAAGAGTTTGAATTTTACTCGGCAAAACCGGTGTGAGGTTAGTCATATTGGTGAGAGCCTCCTTAAACACAAATAAAAGAACCGGTTGGTTAGAACTAAGAGATCTTTTGACATCACCAGCCCTCAAGTAGAAGTTAGATGCTTTAGTAGGCGGCTTTGTCTTTTGCTTTAGCTGCATTTGATCCTGGTAGACTTCTTGTGGCGTCAAAGGTATGAGGGTTGTCTTCCTGCCTTTAAAAATAAAGGAATACTTGTTAGTAAACCCATCATGAATAACCTTTCGATCCGATTGCCATGGCCGGCCTAGAAGTATGTGTCATGCGTCCATGGGCAACACATCACACTGTATCTCGTCTTCATATCCTCCAATACTAATAGGGACCATGACACGGCTGTTGACCTTTAATTCCCCATCATTATTCAACCAGTTGAGCATGTAGGGTCGGGGGTGCTTCTCGGTGGCTAGGTTGAGCTTTTGAACCATCTCTTGACTGGCTACGTTGGTGCAGCTACCGCCATCTATGATGAGACTACAAACTTTTCCTTGTACAAGGCACCGGCTATGAAACAAATTCTCTCTCTGCTCCTCTTCTATAGCTTTGGCTTGCACGCTTAGAGACCTTCTTGATACAAGTAAGGAGCCATGAGCAGGAAGCTCTTCATGTTCAGAATGAGATTCGGCTTCAGACTCAGCTGTTGATTCCCATTCGCCATCGTCTTTGAGTATCATGATCTTCTTATTCGAACACTCGTTTGCGTAATGCCCTCTTCCAAGACACTTGAAACACTTAACGTCTCTGGTTCTTGTTGGCCCCATAGCTTTGTTTCGGTTATCTGATACCGAAGTGAATGACTTAGGTTCTTCTTTAGAGACACCGGCTGGCTTCTCTTCTTTTGATACTGAACTCGGCTTCTCCTCTCTAGAATATCTTGGTTTAGTAGGCATTCCTCCAGCTCCATAAACGGTTTTGGTGTTTCTCCTCTTGAGCTGTTGTTCTATGAGGATGGCCTTATGCAACATATCTTCTAATTCCTCATATTGCTGCATGTCAAGCTTGTCTTGAATCTCTCTGTTCAATCCTCCTAAGAAACGAGACATAGTGGCTTCAGCATCTTCTCGAATATCAGCTCGTAGCATCAAGGTCTTCATGTCTTGATAGTAATCTTCAACAGATCGGTTGCCTTGTGTGAGCCGTCTAAGTCTTTGGTGCAATTCTCTATGGTAGTGACTTGGCACAAACCTTTTTCTCATGAGAGATTTCATGTCCTCCCAAGTATCAATAGGAAATTGCTGATTTCTTCTTCTAGTCGTAACAACCTGATCCCACCAACAAAGAGCATAATCGTAGAACTCGGTAGTGGCTATCTTCACTCGATTAATCCCGGCGAATTGTTGGCAATTGAACAACAATTCGATCTTCTTTTCCCACTCTAAGTAGGCATCAGGGTCGTTTTTGCCGTGAAAAGGAGGGATCCTGAGTTTAACTCCTCCAAAACCCTCTTGAACTCGTTCTTCCTTGTGTCGCCTATGCCTTCTTCGACTGTCTCTTGAGGAACTACTAAGAAGACCGTAATAATCTGTGGCCGCATCATCTCTGAGAGGTCTAGTCGGCTCCAAAACTTCCTCAGGTTCTTTCCCTAGATCTCTTCTCTTATCTTTGCTAGCCTTTGGTTTGGTCTGCTCTTGAATCTCCTGTCGAAACTCCTCGAGGCTCACGGTCACAAGCTTCTTAACTTCGGCTAACATTGCCTCCATGTATAATTTGTTAACACCATTAGCACTGGACTCTTCTTGTTGATCACTCATTGTTCCTGAAACAAGGATAACACGAAATCACTAGCAACAATTCTCTGATCGTTTTACAAAACAAAAGTGACTATTCGTGTTCTACAAGAAATCATGATCGATAGATTGAATTCGAAAAGTCAGATATGCAAAAAACGGATTCGAGCCTAGAAGTTAAAAAGGCACTTAGATCTATCCGTTTTGATAGCAACTAGATCTCAGATATTCGATCCTGCTTAATAAATCTAGGTTAGTTTGATGCAGTAGAACACAAGTAACAGATTCGATTAAACGGTGATGATGATCAAACTTGTAAACTCAAAAACAATCGAGAAACAACAAGGAAAGATACAACCTGATGTTTTCGACGATCCAGCGGTTTGAGTGCTTGCTCTGATACCACTTAATATGATTCTCCCTGAAATCGACACTCACTAAACTGGATCAAAGGGGATAGCCTTGCACACAAGCGAATTGTATCAAGGTTTGTGGGTTTAGATAAGACGCCAAGGGTTGCGGAAGACCCTTGATGAATGGTTTCCGAATCAACTAAGGATATTACACACCAGAGATGAATCGAAAGGCCTTGAAGGATATTACACACCAACAAGAAAATTGATCTTACTAAGAAAAGATTTTGATTAAAAGATAAGATAGTCTCAAAAGAGAGTTTACAAGTGAATATAAAGAGAAACACATGTGAGTCTACAAAGCATTAAAGTGTCTAGGAACTAGTTCTTTGAAAGCTGGCCAAGTTTGAATTCGAACTCTTCTTTACACGCTCCTCTTCTTCTGCTTTGGACTCGGCTGATGGGCTTAGATGTGAGGTGATCCAAACTATGCCTCATTAAAAACCTATCTCAAGAAAACCCATTGGGACAAAACTTGAGATAGGGAAAAAGAGTACATAGTTGGATCACAAGCCCATTAGTCTTCTCGGACTTGGATCACAACTAGTGTAGTTGTGCCCATCTCTTTTCCCTTCTGTTCCACAAGCGTTCCATGCTTAAGTATTTCCCCAACAGCTTCCTTGAGCCTCTTAGCCTTTGCTCGGGTTATAGGACCGTTTGTAATGAGCAAAGTGTCTTCTTGTTCCATTTCCTGAACCTTGTCTTTACTCCTTAGCTCCTTAGCTCCTTGCGGTTTTCCATCTGGTTCCCACTCGTTATTGATGCTATCCAAGATTATATCACAAGCTCCGAGGGTTTCTTCACCAAAGTTCGAGCTTATTGAGTCATCTTGACTATGGAACTGGTCTCAGAGCAATTGGAGTCGTGTGTTTAAAGTTACTGCTTTCGGAAGGCAATATGGTCGATACGAGCCTAAATGAGTTGCGATACGCGCTAAGTATTTTCTCAAGCCTCGGCATCAGTATCTCGACATTGCTCAAGTCAAGGCTCATATCTTGGGAGTATTTTGGACTAGACCTCGTGCTGACACCTCGGCATGATGAGATCAAGGCATGCACACGTAAGAAATGAAGCTGGAAACGACTAAGTGTTGAACGTGCACCTCGGTGTAATGGCCTCGGCGTGCATGCCGGACTCTGTTCTCCCGAACCCCTCGACTACCAAGCCCCGCGACATTTTATGGCGAGGTCCCTTTTCACAACTCCAGAATCGAGAACAAGACGGCTCAAGAACACACACGAGAAGATGGATCAAAGACTAGGGTTCATGCATGTTCTTGACGTGTTCTTCACGAGATGTCCATTTGGATCTTGGCTCACATGCACTCCTCGACATAAAGACCTCGGCTTCACTCTCCGACACACCGTGGCACTCACCCATCAACCCAAGAAGGCGGCTCAGTACCCGGTTTGTTCCGGGCTGACCCGCGACACTTTCCCTTTACTATAAATACATTTTAGGACCAAAAACCTAATCATCTTATCTCTTATCATCTTTTAGCCTTAAGAACTTGCCTCTTTTGTGAAACTTGATTAATCTAATCCGATATCTCGTTTTTGCATCAGAATCTTGTTCTTTCTTTATCTCTTTTATCATCCAGCATCACACTCCTTATCATGACTCGCTACACGTCTTGCAAAGGACTTAGTGAGCTCGTTATGATCAGTGAGTAGTCGTTTAAGCGGCTTTAGATAGGTAGATTAGGGTGCTTTCAAGATAGATTAATGGGTTTAGGTGTCTAGTCTTGCATGTTTCATTCTTTAACCGACGAGATCTCTAGGCTGGATCCAAGCACATCACTTGAGGTTCAGATCTGAGACATATCTCGCATCAAAAGTGTTTGTAGAAATGTCTGAACCACTCGGTTAAAGGTTTAAGGGTCTTTCATCGCGAGAGTGATAGTTTGTTCTCTTAAATGACATATTGAACTGAATCTTATTGCTGACTGATTCATGCTTCTCAAAAGGGATTTTGGTATGAAAGAGGATCAGTTTAGATGTTTAATACTTTCATGAGAAGATTAACATGCCTTGAGTTCGAAGTTAAATGAAACCGCTTGATAAAATGATTCATTAACCCATTAGTTTAACTTGGAAGCACCCGAGTCAAGTATCATGTCTAAAGCTTCTGCCTTTATCATATATTATCATCATCCGAACCATTTGCTTGTCATTTGCATCTTCACTTAGTTCAAACCTCATCTCTTATTTCATTTTTATGCTCATTCACTTGTTAATTAGTTTAGCTAAAACCTTTACCATTTCCCTCTTGACTTTTGATACAAGTAACATAGATTAGTGCCTCCATCACAAGTTTGGTTTGATAACCCCTTGTACTACAAGGACAGGGGTATTGATAACCTCTTTAAAGAGCCAAAACTCTTAATTATCAGGGTTGTCAAGTTTTACCCTAAATGAAATCAATAGCCGCAAGTGCACAGCTGATCGATTGTAGTACTTAGGGATCGAATCCACAGGGAAGGAGGATCTTTCCTACAAAAGCCTTTGAAAGAAATATGAAGGAAGTCTAGAACCAAACGGTTTTGTGGGGGTTTTGGTGGTGTGTTTAAAACGTAAAAACAAAATTTAAAAAGAAACTACGGGAATTAAAATGACCTAATAACTAAACTTAATGAAAACAGGTAAAACACAGGAAAAACGGCTAACCTAATTGCTTAAATGAAAATCGATTGAAAGGTGATGGTGACTTGATGTGTGTGTGGGTGTCGAGGGTTGTCAAGTTTTACCCTAATTGAAATCGATAGCCGCAAGTGCACAGCTGATCAATTATAGTACTTAGGGATCGAATCCACAGGGAAGGAGGATCTTTTGCTGCAAAAAGCCTTTGAAATAAGTTAAAGTAAGGAAGTCTAGAACAAAAACGGTTTAGTGGGGGTTTGGTGGTGTCTTTAAAATGTAAAAACAAAATATTAAAAGAGAATACGAGAATTAAATGACGTAATAACTAAACTTAATGAAAATGACTAAAAATGATAAAAATGGATATTCTAATGCTTAAATGAAAATAAACTAAAAAGGAAAGACAATATTGAACTAAAGCTTTAAAGAAAATCGGTGTATAACAATGGAGAAGAAAGCGTTGGGCTTCAGGGAAGTTTTCTCAGGGGTACGAACGATTCAAAACATTGCTAGAGAGAAAATTTTGTAAGATCTTAGCTTAAACTTTTCGAACTGGAGTCACGGACGTATGAATACGCCACTGTCGTGATCATAGACAACTATCTCTCTCAACCCTGACCAGTAGGTTTCCACTCTGGCCCTGGAAGAGAAGAGATGCATTATGTTTAAGACTCGTCCTAATTCACAAATCGCCCATAGGTAGGTTTCCACTCCTATGTTTGTTTTGCTCTCCCAAACTAGATCTGATACCTGATGAACACTTTCGTGTCACCAAGCATCTGGATCAGATTGTAATTCATGACGCTACTCTCATGCAGTAAAAACGAATTCAGAAGAAAAAGTTCTAAGATTCAGCTCAATAGCCAATGGAATCCTCATCGAACATATAAATCTCCATCGAAACTCCCTTAATCCCAACAATAAAACTACTCAGACATAATGAACGAAATCAAAGACATAATATTAAGAAGTAGAATAGAAACCGAAATTGAAAAAGAAAGAACAAGGGTTCAAGAGAACAAATCTCTCTCCCTAAAAGCTAAAGCAAAAACAATGAAAGTATGAAGTAAATAAATCGGTTCTCTAAGGTTACACACGATTTCTAGGGCTCCTAAGACATGTATTTATAGAGCTCAAGACCTCTCTGGACGTCACTTAGGGTTTCTCCTAATGTGGGCTTCAGAAATGGGCTTTTTGGGCTTGGAGGTTGAAGGCCGCGGTCGGGAGTGCTCTGACCGCGGGGAATGTATGGTTTGCCGCGGTCGGGATGCTCCTGACTGCGGGAAAATGCTTGTTGGCCGCGGGTGGAAGTGCTGGCCAGCTGGTTTACGGGACATCTTGCTTTTCGCGTATCTTTTGATTGAACCGTTGGATTGCCAAGCTGTAAAGTGCACTGGAAAGCTGATACTTCCATCTTTAAGGTCTCCAAATTTGAGCTGGATCAGACGGTGAGAAGGCCTTCAACCAGGGGTGAACTTCTGACGGTTTGACTCTGAGCTGAAATCTGGTTTTCTATCCATTTTGTTAAGCTTTTCCCTAAGTTACCTGAAAAGAGTCCTGGAACTACAAATACTAGAAAAACGTGATAAAAGTACTTAAAAAGCAATTAAAAACATATAAAAAGTATTTCAAAACGATCCATAAAAGTGGTCAAAATACGGTGTTATCAACTCCCACAGACTTAAACCTTTGTTTGTCCTCAAACAAAGCAAAAGCCTAAACTGGTTAAGTGAAAACAAAAATAGGGAATGCACAAATCTCATAGACATGAACTCCTAAACTAGGACCAAAGATAGTGCATCAATCCACAACTTAGTCTAGAAAATTCTCACTAAAGCACAAGAGATACTAGTCCACTTTTTCCGTCATGCAAAACTTAAACAATCTAAATCTTGATTTCAGTCAACTAGCTCTCTACATTCATTAAGTTCAATAGTGAGTTCTCATTAAAGACATCATCCAGGGTAGACGG